TTTGTGAGTCCCAGCACCCCCTCCCAGGTCACTTTTAGCTCTTCTTTCCATGTCATTTCCAGACCCACCCCCAGATCACTCTCAGATTCCCACCATCATTCCCAGCACCCTCCTGGGTCACTCTCAACTCTCTTGCCCATCTCACTCCAAGCACCCTCCAGGTCACTCTCAGTACCCCCTCTGCCTCAGCAGTTCCCCTGGCACAGAGGCAGATGTAGCGGGCGTGGAAGGCAAGCTTTTCCATTGACTAACTGAGGGACTGAGACCAGCCATCAGAAGCTCTCGGAGCCTCAGTTTCCTCATCTATAAACTGGCTAGGGGTGGTAACTGGGTAACAGTTATTGTTTTTTCAGAGCACTTCTAAAGACATCATGATGTTTAATTCCTGGCACAGCTTTAGGGAACAATCAGAGGAAGGGTCTTTCAACTCTGTTTCATAAATATGGAAACTGTAGCTCCGGGGGTATGTGACTCAGTGATGTGTTTGCAACAGGGAAGAGACACTCCTATTCCCCAATCCCCAGATCTCCTGGGACCCAGAATAAGCTCTTGTAGTCTGGGCTAGGTGTCTTCTGGGACGGAGTGCTCTCGTTTCTCCTACATTGGGAATCTATCAAGTCTGGACTGAACATCTGGGATGGGATGCTTCCATTTCTCTGAACAGGAGGAACCCACTGAGCCAGGTTGAGCATCTTCTGGGATGGGATGCTCCTGTTTCTCCTGACAGAGTCACTGAGTCTGGGCTGAACATCTGGGATGAGATGCTTCTATTTTTCTGGATAGTGGGAACCCACTGAGCCTGGATGGAGCATCTTATGGGATGGGATGCTTCCATTTCTCCCGACAGTGGGGACCCACTAAGCTAGGGCTGATGGTACTCATGCCTCAGGGAGTTGACGGTCACTTTGGTTCCCAGGGCTAAGAAGTATGGACCTGTTGTGCGAGTCAATGTCTTTCACAAAACCTCGGTCATCGTCACAAGCCCCGAATCGGTCAAGGTAGGAGGTGATGTGGCTCCCTTGCAATGTCCTTCCCTTTCCCCAGAATGAGGGTCATGCTAGGCCCCAGGGACTGACTAATACTGCCCTTATAACCACCACCTCATCAGGATGTCTTCAAGCACTGCTGTATGATGGATGAGAAGGGATTTTGCTGGCCCCATTGAGGCTGGGAATATGACCAACTAATCACACATTTAACTTGTCAGAGCCTCAGTTCTTTCATACTAAGATGAGAGTTATAACTGCCTCCCATAGCTCTGATGAGAATGTGTTGTTGATGGATTTATTTAATGAAGTATCTAAAGAGTCTTAAACAGTGCTTCCTAGGCTGGTGCTTTTCTCTTCACCACTGGGAGTGTGTTTAATCCTCACAGAGGTGGGACTTTTATTACACCACCAGAAAAAAAAAAGTGTGGCCAAGTGGGCACTAGGAAGATACCTACTATCTATAGGAAATGACTCAAATCTGGGCTCTGCAAGCCTTGGGATCTAGGACAAGTTACTTCATTATTCTGTGCTTCTGTTTCTTTATCTGTAAAGCAGAGATGATGGCCTCCTTACAAGGTAGTTTAAGCATGGGACTGGGGCTAGAGAGATGACTCAGATGTTAAGAGGACTGATTGTTCTTATAGAGGACCCAGGTTCGATTCCCAGCACCCACATAGTGGCTAACAACTGTTTGTAACTCCAGTTCCAGGGGAATCCTATGCCTTCTTTTGACTTTGCTGACATTGGACCACATGGGTGTACTTACACACATACAGGCAATACACTCACATACATAAAATAAAAATAATAAATAAAATTAACCAAAAAGAATGGGCCGAATTGATGCCTGTGAGCCCCATAGCTCATGCCTGGCACACTGCAGCTGCCCACAGTGGACGTGTGGTTCTGCATGCAGAGTGGTTGTGGTGACTCAGAGAGAAAAAGTACAACTCAGGATTTAGTGTTTTTTTGTTGTTGTTGTTTTGTTTTTAATGCTAGTGTGTTTTGTTTAGCATTTTTTTGGTGATTCTGGGGATGGATCCCAATCCCTGAGGTGTACCTCCAGCCCTAAATTAGAACTTTATGGACACATCAGGAGGCAGACTGAACAGCCGTGGAATCATTACAATGCTGAAAATCACTTAAAAAAATGAACTCCTGGTATAGTGGTGGATGCCTTTAATCCTAGCACTCAGGAGGTAGAGATAGGCAAATCTCTGTGAGTTCAAAGCCAGCCTAGTCTACATAGGGAGCTCCAGACCATCCAGGGATACACAGTGAGACTTTTTTTTTTTAAATCACAGATACAGTTAAGAGGTTTTTAAAAGCCTGCTACTACAACCCATACACTGATTTTCATGATACTTAATGAAAAAAGGATTAAAGGTAGCTGTTAATATGGTATAGTAGGATCTGGAAAGATGGCTCAGTAGTTAAGAGAACTTTCTGCTCTTGCAGAGAACCCAGATTCCATTCCCAGCACCTACATAATGTCTCACAATGGTCTGTAACTCCAGATCCAGGGGATTCGAGCCCTCTTCTGACCTCTGAGGGCACTGCATGCCCATGATGCACATACATACATGCAAGCAAAGATTCATACACATAAAATAAATAAATCCTTAAAAAATACAGTATACTGTATTATAGGTTGATTTTCAAGTGCTGAACCACCTACGAATTCCCAGATATGTGTTGCTAGACTTGATCTGCTAATCTTTCTTAAGGGTTTTTGTTCCTATATTTACTTTTTCCTGCAAGGCCTTTGTTGGGTTTGGTACCAGGTTAATACTGACTGGCTTCATAGTTTGGGAAGTGTTCCTCCTGCATTTTCTGTAAGACTTTGTTTGGTGTTATTTCTCTCCTTAGTGTTTGGTAGGATTCACAGAGGCCATGTGGGCCTAGACATCTTTTCAGAGAAGTGGTGTTTGTTTTTTATATTAGGCATTAAGGGTTGGAGAGATGGCTCAGTGGTTAAGATCACTTGCTGTTCTTGTAGAAGACCTGGGTGCAGTTACCAGCATTCACATCAGGTGACTCACAATCAACTGTAGTTGATGTGTGATGTAGTTCCGTGGGATATGATGGCCTCCTTGGGTACTGCACATGTATGGTGGACATATGTACATACATACACACATATGGTGGACATATGTACATACATACACACATATGGTGGACATATATACATATGTATACATTCACACATATACGTATAGAAACAAATATTAAAAATATAAAAGTAGACATTCAATTCCTTTAAAATATTTTGTGTGTTCAGCATTTAAAAACTTAAAATTATGATGAAAAACGACAAGACTTACATCTGTAACCACTTTTATTGTGCAGTTCGGGGGACTGGACATATTCCTAGTGTGTGTCTGTTATGACCACCCCCCGCAGAATTCTTCCTGTTCCGCACTGAAGTGCTGTACCATTGGGCAAGTCCCTGTTCGCTCTCTTTCAGGCCCTAGGAGCCACCAATTGACTTTCTGTCTTTTTTCCCCTTTTTTCCTTTTACTTTCTGTCCTTGTCCATTTGATCGCGCTCATTACATCACACAGGCGGAGTCATGCAGTGTCTGTCCTTTTGACACTGCTTTGTTTCACTTAACACCCTTGATGTTCACCCATGAGCATATATCAGAATTTCATTCTCAGTTTATTTAATTGATATGTGATCATTCAGACTTTCTATGACTTTGGCAATTCATGTCTTTCAAGACATTCCATGTTTGTTTCAAAGACATTGTTTAAATAATTGGCAAGAAGCTATTAATAATATTGCTTATCGTGTGTGTGTGTGTGTGTGTGTGTGTGTGTGTAGAGTCATGTATGTGCACATGACTGCATGTGTCTGTGGAGGCCAGAAGAGAAGGTCAGATCCTCTGGAACTGGAGCTACAAGTGGTTATAAGCTGCCTGACTTAGATTCCAGTAGCTCAACTCTGAATCTCTGCAAGAACAGCAGTTGCTCTTAACTATTGAACCATCACTCCAGGCCCAACGTGCTTTTCAGTTTCTCACTATTATTGGATATGTGTCTTTGCCTTATTGATTCTTATATAATTCTGTGAGATCAGAGAAAATATTCATCATGGTTTCAGTCCCTTAAAATGTTTATTTATTTATTTTTATTTTATTGCATGAGTGTTTTGCCTGCTTATATCACACTGCATGCAATGCCCATGGAGGCCAAACGAGGGCATTGGATCCCCTGAAACTGCAGTTTTGGATGGTTATTAGCTGCCATGGAGGTGCTGGAACTTAAACCAGGGTCCTCTGCAAGAGCAGCCAGTGCCTCGAACCATGGAACCATCTCTCCAGTTCCGTGATTTCAGTTCTTTTAAATGAATTGAAGCTTATTTTGTGGTCTAGTTATAGCCAATTTTGATGATTGTTCATAGACTCTTGAAAAGAGCTTGTGTTTTCTTCTTGTTGATAGAGCATTTGAGAAATGTCAGGTAGCTCACATGGTCAGTGATGTCATTCAGATCTCTTAGAGTCCCACTAAATTTCTTTCTTCTTGTACTATTGGCTGCTGGCATGGAGTGTTCAACTCTCCAGCCAAAGTCATGGGTAGACTCTGTGTTCAGTCTTCTCAGCTTTTTTTTTTTTTTTTTTTTTTTTTTTTTTGAGACAGGGTCTCCCTGTAGCCCCAGCTGTCCTGGAACTCACTATGTAAACCAGGTTGGCCTTGGCCTGGAACTCACAGAGATCCACCTGCTTCTGCCTCCCAAGTGCTGGGACTACAGGTGTGCACCACTACGCCTGGCCCTTTTTTTAAAAAAAAAAATTTTAATTACAAAAAATTTTATGTGTAAAAGTGTATTGCCTGCATGTGTATAAGTGCACCCATGTCATGCAGTGCTCAACGAGGTTGGAAAAGGGCGTTGGGTCCTCTGAACTGGAGTTAGAGATGGTTGTTAGCCACCATGTGGGTGTTAGGAATCAAACCCAGCTCCTTTGCAAGAGCAACCAGTGCTCTTATCTGCTGGACCATCTCTCCAGCTCCCAGTCCTATTGGTTTTGCTTGTATATTTACTATGTATTTTGGTCCTTCTTTTTCTTTTGGTTTTTTCTTCTTTTTGCTGTGCTACTGGTGGAACCCAGGGCCTTATGCACACTAGGCAGACATTCTACCACTAAGCCACATACTTCTGCGCCCCAGCCATTTCCTTCATGTTACTAGGTGTGTATGCATTTAGAACTGTTATGTGTTCATGGTGAATTGATTCCTTTATCCTCAGACATGTTTCTTTATCCTTGTGGAGGTGTGAAGGTCAGAGAACAACTTGCAGTAGTCAATTCTCTCCTTCTACCATGTCATTGCCAGGGATGAAACTCAGGTTGTCAGGCGTGACATCCAGTGCCCTTACCTGCCGAGGCACATTGCTGCTCCCCCTTATCCTGTTGACATTCTTTTCCTTCCAGTACCTTTTCACTGCTTAGAACAGTCACTTCAGGTCTCTTATGTTTAGTGTTACATGGTTTATTTCTTTATATCTCTCTGGGCTTTTGTATTTAAATTTTTATTCATTATTTTTATTTTATATGTATTGCCTGCATGTGTGTAAATGCACCTGTGTCATGCAACACTTGAGGAGGTCAGAAGAGGGTGTCAGATGAATTCCCTGGAACTGGAGTTATGGGTGGTTGTTAGCTGCCATGTGGGGGTGCTGGGAACTGAGCCCAGGTCCTCTGCAAGAGCAGACAGTGCTCTTAACCACTGAGCCATCTCTCCAGCTCTGGGCTTTTTGTATTTAAAGTGGGTTTTCTGTGGGAAGGCAGCATATTCTTGGGTCTTGCTATTTTATGCAGCTTGATAATCTTTGCTATTACATAAAGTCCTTAGGTCATTTACATTCAATGTAATAGTAAAATTATTTTGAGACTGGACTACACTCTGGCTCAGACTGATCTCCAGCTATTCAGCTTGAGTGATGCTCTGGCTTCAGCCTCCCGAGACTACAGTCAGGCACCACCACATCTGGCTAATGTAATCTCTTTATAATTGGGCTTAAATCTACCAAGTTCCTATTTACTTTTCACTTGTCCCATCCTCTCTCTCTCTCTCTCTCTCTCTCTCTCTCTCTCTCTCATTGCCCTAGGGCTTATAAAATCTTTAACTTATTTCACTTTATATTCCTACTTTCATCTCTCTTGCTGTGATAAAATACCCCAATAAAAGCAGTTTTGAGAGAAAAAAGATATATTGGGCTCACACTTTGGGCTTACAGTCCACCATTTCCAGGTTTGCTTGAAGGCCTTTATTGGGTAGGCTGGGGCATACTTTTCCTCCAGGGCTTCGGTTAGCCCCTTTGCTAGTGGGGACACTGCCCTGGGCCACTACCCAAGGCTCTGTGTCTGAGGTTGGTGTGCTCTGACCACTGGGAATGTCAACCATTTGTGGCGTGTGTGAGCTCTGAGAACTGCCTAACCTATTAACTGCCTAGCTGCCCATTAATTCCGCTGTCCCCATCTTGCAGAGTGTCACTCTGTGTGCACAGACTTGTATTCATGCAGTGCTCAGGCACCACATGCAGAGGAGTTCCACAGCTCCTCTCTGAATGCTGGCCTATAAACTTGAGCCTCCCACAGCTGCCTGGAGTCTGACCTCTGATTGTCCCACTTACCAAGGCTGCAGGACTGTATTTGGGTCTCTTCTTTTAGTGTCCTTTTCCTGGAATTGCCTGTGGGTAGAAAGCTGGGACAGCCCTAGGTCACAGTGCCCTGGTCTTGGTTTTCCTCCTTCTGGTCCACGATTCTGCATGGCTTATCTGAACATTTGAAAATAGACACTTTATACATTAAAAAAAATTATTTTTATTACTATTTAAATTATGTGTGCGTGCATGTGTGTGTACAAGTGTGTGTGTGTGTGTGTGTGTGTGTGCGCGCGCGCACGTGCACATGAGTGCAGATGTCCACAGAGGCCAGAGGCCCCTTGGAGCTAGAGTTACAGGCAGTTATGAGCCTCCTGATATGGGTGCTCTTAAGTGCTGATCCATCTCTCCAGCCCTCACACTATACATTTTTGCCTGATTTTCTAGGTGTTTGCAGCAGGGCAAGTCCCTAGGTGTTACTGCTTCAGGGTAGAGATGTGGAGGATTCCCTGTATGTCCTGCATACCCCTAAGCTCAGCTCAGTGGCCAATCACAGGATCCCCAGCCTCTGGGACAGCAGGCTGTAGGGGATAGGGTGGTGGGGACTCTGGTCAGAGCCTGTGCTGAGGTGCCTTGCCTCAGTGGTGGTGAGTCTAGTTTAGTTGAGAAAGGACTTCCACATGCTGCTCAGGGGCTCCCTGAAGGGCAGGGAGGTGGCATTTGCTGTCATAGTCTTGGTGAGGTAGGGCGGTGGCAGAGCTTGGTTTATAAATCAAAATTTTGGGGGTGGGTTGTTGAGGTCCCTGGGGTGTCTCATGGTGCAAAGTCAGTCAGTTCTGGGGTTTCTTCTCTGCTGAACACTTGGAGTAAGACCCTCCTGACCCCTGCCCAGAGGAGCTCACAGGAGCCAGTAATCCTGGTTTTTACAGTGAAACTTCTGATTGCTTCTTGGGACTCCCAGGACCAAACTCAGCCTTTGGCAAGGCCCAGTGGCCTTGGCCGTACACCCCACAGCATGGCTGGCCACATAGTACAGGACCTGGGCTTCCCTCAGCCTGGGTCTCAGCCCTTCTCTCCTCTCCCCTGGCCTCAGTTTGTCTGGATTCATGTGCTGTGTCCACTCTGAGCATCACCTTCAGTTTTTGTTTTATGAGACAGGCCTCGAACTCATTTGGCCAAGGATGACCTTAAACTTCTGATCTCCCTGCCTTCACCTCCATGTGCACCACCACACCCATGACCAGTTTCTGTAGTGCCAGGGATCGAACCCAGGGCTTTGTGGATGCTAAGCAAGCACTTGACCAACTCAGCTACATCCCAGGCCTCTTGTGCCAGCTTTAAATCTTGGCTTTTTCCACCTGTGTGTAAGATGAACATAAAATAGCAGGTATGTCTGAGGGTTGACTGGGCAGGGAGTGAACTGCAGGATGCTGACATATACTTGGCATTTATTGAGCACCTGCTGTGTACCAGCTCTTTAGCTACAGAACTGACGGACTCCTCGTGGCAACCTGAGCAGACAGCCTCCCTTTTTATCTTCACCTTGTCAGATGAGGACCATGAGGGATGGAGGAGGAACTTCATCTAGGATGTGGATTCAGCAAATGTGGAGGAGGGTGCTGATCCCAACCCGAGTTCCTCTCCGATAGGCTACACTGACTGCCCCAGAGGCTGTTGGGGAACATCATTATCCCTGCCACACACTCTGGGAAGCAAATTGACCCTTCCTCCAGGAAGTCTTCTTCACCTTTGAGGCAGACGTGGGGCTGATGACAGTGAATCTGTCCTCAGGGTCTCTCCAGTGCTTCAAAGCCTGTCCTTTGGTCACCTCACCTACTCCCTCAGCTTTCTGAGCAGTGAGTCTCTGTCACTCTGCATTGGAAGGCAGTGCGGTGTGGGGCCCTGTCCCCACTTTAGCTGTGTGGTCATGGAAAGTCCCACACCCCTCCACAATTGACTTGTTTGAAAACAGGCCTCCTGGTTGATAGATCCGTCCTCCTCCTCCTGGGTGGGGGTCTCGTTCCCTCCTGAGTGCTGGGGGTGCGGTTCACAGGCATCCTCTGCAGCCTCTCATGGCTTGTGTTGCTTTGGGGGGCTGTTTAGAAGTTCCTGATGTCGACGAAGTACAACAAGGATTCTAAGATGTACCGTGCAATCCAGACCGTGTTTGGAGAGAGGTAAGGGCCCAGGGCAGATGGCTCCCCTGGGAGCACCACGTGTGGTGGGGTGCCCCATTCATTTTCTGACATTTTTCTGCTCTTCTCCCTCTGGGGGTGCAGGTGGGAACATGGGGGTATGCTGTTGGGGTCCATGGTCACCCTGCTTATTAATTTATTTTTGATTGATATATAAAATTAGCATGTTTGTAGGATGTCATATGTTTCCATCTGTGTATCCTGTTGCTTAAAAAAGATTTTATTTGCTGGGCATGGTGGCACACACCTTTAATCCCAGCACTCCAGAGGCACGGGCAGAGGCAGGCGGATCTCTGTGAGTTCAAGGCCAGCCTGGTCTACATAGTGAGTTTCAGGTCAGCTGGGGCTACAGGGAGATCCTGTCTCAAAAAGACTCCCCCCCAAAAAAGATTTTATTTTATTTTATATGTGTATGTTTTGTCTGCACGTATGTAAGTGTACCATGTGCATGCAATGCCTTTGGAGGTGCCAGATCCTGGAACTGGAGTTACAGATGGTTGTTAGCTCCCATGTGGGTGCTGAGAATCCAACCTGGGTCCTCTGTGAGAGCAGCCAGTGCTCTTAACCGCTGTGCCATCTCTCTGGCCCTACTTCCTTTTCATCAGGCTATGTGGACACAGGCCCACTGTCTTGCCCACATTGATGTGCACCACCTGGCAGTGTTTAGTGTTTAGCACGTTCATGGTGTATGCAATCATCACCCTGTCTAGTCCCAGGGCTTTTTCATCATCCCCAAGGTGACCCACCAAGTAGTCCCTTCTACTCCCCACTTTCCTCTGGCACCCAGTACCTGTATCTTGCAGACTGTTTGGCCAGGGCTTGGTGTCCGAATGTGACTATGAGCGTTGGCACAAGCAGCGAAGAGTCATGGACTTGGCCTTCAGCCGCAGGTGAGTATGTTGAGAAGGGAGGGTCTACCTGGCCAGGGGTGGTGGTGCTGGTGGAGAGGGCTCTTGGGTGGGAAAGCTTCATCCAGGAGCCTCACCCAGCTGGAGGGGAAGTTGGGGACATCAGAGATCAAAAGGAGAGCAACCCCAGGGTGGTGGAACTGAAGGGGGCGTCCCACATATGACTGACTGGCTGCAGAACATTTAGGGCTGCATGACCCCCCAGTTGCCAGAAGTGGTGTGTGTGTGCGTGTGTGTGTGCATGTGTCTGCTGTCCAAAACTGTCCCATTCAGATCTTACTCTGTTTGTATTTCTTATTTTATTCATTTTAGTTTTTAATTTTTGGAGGTGAATTTATTTTCCTTTGGAGACAAGGTCTCACTATAACTGTCACTGGCCTGGGACTTGCTATGTAGATCAGGCTGGCTTTGAACTCACAGAGATCCACCTGCCTCTGCCTCCCGAGTGCTGGGACTAAAGGTGTGTGCTGCCACACCTGTACCTTAAAAATTTTTTAAAATTTATTTTAATTTATTTTTATGTGCACAAGTGTTTTGCCTGCATGTATGTAAGTGCACCACGTGTGTGCAATGTCTGCGGAGGCCAGTAGAAGATGTTGCATTCCCTAGAACTGGAGTCATGGACAGTTGTTAGTCACCATGTGGGGGCTGGGAACTGAACCTGGGTCCTCTGCAAAAGCAGCCAGTGCTTTTAGCTGCCGAACCATTTTTGGTTAAGTGCTGTATATGTGTATGTCTGAGAGTGCATTTGTGTATGTGTATGCAGTGCCTGCAGAGACCAGAAGAGGGCACCAGATCCCCTGGAGCTGGAGTTATGGGTGCTTGTGAGCCACCTGACATGGGTCTTGGGAATCAAATTTGGTTCTTCTGCAAGAGCAGAAGCACTCTTAAAAGTGCTGAGCCATGTCTCCAGTCCCATTATTTTTTTAATAACCCTTTTACTGGATTGTGAATTACATTCCATAGAATTCACTCATCTAAAAGGAATCATTCAAGAGCCCTTAGCCTCTCCATAGTTGTGTCTCCATCACCCCTTGCTTCTTCCCTGTGCCTGCATCATCTGCAACCACTAACTTACATCTGGTTTCTCTGACTTTTGATGCACTAGACATTTCACACACATGGAATCATACAGTATGTAGTCCTTCACACCTGGCTTCTCTCACTTAGAATGATGTTTCTACAGTTCATGCATGTCATAGCCTGTACCAATATTTCATTCCTTTTTTATTGTTGACTAATGCTCCACTGCATGGATTCCATATTTGTTTATTTTTCAGTTAGTAGGCATTGGGTTGTCCTTGGTTTGGAGCTATAATGAACAGTGCTACTGTGAATACATATGCTTTTGTGTAGACTTATGCCTTTGTTTCCCTTGGGTGTATATGCCTAATGGAGTCAAGGGGGAGGATGCTGAGCCTGTGCCTAGCATTTTGAGGGAGGTAATATTTGACTTTGATAAAGTTTCAGATTCATAGAAAAATTGTCTTTTACTCAGATTTACTTATTGTTTGTTGTTAGAACCATGGTCTGAGTTGTAATTTCTTTCTCTGTTTATGTGTGTACATATTTATTGTGCCAGGCATGGTGTTGCATGTCTATAACTCCAGCACTTGGGAGAATGAGGCAGGAAGATTGAGAGCTCTAAGCCAGCCTGAGTTACAGGAGACCTTATCTTAGACAGACAAATCTATCATCTATCTATCTATCTATCATCTATCTATCTATCTATCATCTATCTATCTATCTATCATCTATCTATCTTCTATCTATCTGTCATCTATCCATCTATCTACTTATCTATCTGCCTATCATCTATCATCTATCTATCACCTATCTGCCTATCATCTATCATCTATCTATCATCTATCTATATATTTGTCTATCATTCATCTATCTATTGATATCCACAGATATCTATCTATATAGATATATACATATTTCCACTCATTCTCTGATGTGTGTATAGATTTATGTAATTTTCACATGACACTCTTTGAAGCTATTTGAGGGTAAGTTAGAAACATTGCACTCCCTACTTTTCCATTCTATGTAACAAAGCTCCCATTATGAAAACTTAGTATCAGTGCTTAGACTTAGTACCGGTCTCCTGCTGCCTCCCATTTTGTCATTTGTTCTGCTCTGGCCGTTTTCCCCTAAGGTCCAGTTCAGGTTCACTTGCTCTACTTCACAGCCTTGGACCTTTAGCCTCCACATTCTAGGACTGTTCCTGGTTGCTCCATAGTCTTGGCCAGGCCAGCTGGGCACACTGTCCTTTGGCCTGGGCATGTCTACGATCACTTTGGGATGAGGCTCAGGTCTGCCTTCTGAGGATGCATGGTGATGGTCTGCCCCATGCTGGTCGTGTTAATTTGTCTCACAGGGTTAAGGTGGGGATCATCCAAGTTTCTTGGATGTGAGGTGATTCTGGAATATGTAACCTGTAGGTTCTGTGTAAGTATCCTCTCCTGAGCTGCTGTGCAGCCTCTTCCACAGCCTTCCAGCCCCTGTCTCCCTCCTCCAGTGAACCCTTTTTGCTACTCTGGAGAGATCTCTCTAAAACTCAGGCCTGTTCCTCCCTACCCCACATACCCTGGTTGGAAGTCTTTGTTGACTGAAAGATGGAGGTCACCCCTTCACCCTGAGTCTGCCCCCATCTTGCTTGCCTCTTATTCCCACCTTCCTGGAGCTCTCATGCTCTTGTTTGTACAGCTTTGGCATGCTTCCACTGGGGAATGCCCATTGCCCCTTTGATACACAGCTAAGATGTCCCTCCAGGGCTGAACTCATGTCCCACCATGGCTCTGTCATACCCAGGCAGTGGTTTCCCTCCCATCCATCTCCCTTATGAGGTCATGAGTGCCAGAAAGCAGAGACACCCCTGTCCTGACTCCTGTGCCCACCATAAGCCCTCCAGGAACTGAGGGATTAGTAGAGTCTCAAGATCACTGGAAAATTGCTGAGGTGAGGATGGGAAGGCATTGTGGGAGCCGGTGACAGCCTGTTACACAGGCCAGATGAGCACATGTAGTCTCTGCCCTCAGCAAGCTTCAAGGTTATAGGGTGAACTTGGATTCCAACTAGGTAATTTTAACCATGTGGTCATAACATCAAAACCAGAGGATGGATCTGGTGAGATGGCTCAGTGGGTAAAGGTGCTTGCTGCTAAGCCTGATGACTTGAGTTTGATTCCTGGGACCCGCATGGTGGAAGGAGAGAACCAACTTCTGCAGGTTGTCCTCTGACCTCCACTTGTATGCTGATGCCTGCACATGTGCCCATATACATATACTCATATATACACACAGAAACACATAATAAATGTTAAAAAGAAGCACAGCCAGAGGATGTGGCTCCGTATAGGCACTGGGGACCCCATGTCTGATTAGCACTTAAACTCATTAAGAATTTTCCAGGGCATTTTTTTTTAAAGTTCCCAATGGCTTGTGGCTTAGTGGGTAGAGTGCTTGCCACTAATGTCCACACCCACAAAACCTATGTAAAAACTTGGTGGACTTGGAGGCTGTGTCATCCCAGCACGTGGGAGATGGAGGCCTGGAATCCATGGAGCAAGCTGGCTAGCCAGACCAGCCAAAACAGATGGCTCTGGGTTCAGCAAGAAACCCTGCCTCAATACATAAAGTAGAGAGAGAGTGACTGAAGAAGACATGCAGTGTTAACCTCAGGCCTTCACACATATACATGGGTGCATGGGACCCACCCACACATATGGGCCCACATGCATATGCACACACACATACACACACATATACTGTACACACATTTAGGTTTCCGTTGGCTGAGACATACAGCACAAAACATGGCACCTTAGTGCTCAGGGAGCAGCTCCATGGCATGATGCCCTTTGTACAATGGGCAACTGATCTTGTCTGCTCTGCTGCTGTGGTAAACACTGACCAAAAGCACCTTGAGGAGGAAAGGGTTTATTCAGCTTACATTTCCAGGTCACAGTCCATCACTGAAGGAAGTCAGGTAGGACCTCAAGCCAGACAACTGAAACAGAAACCATGGCGGAACGCTGCTTGCTGGCTCCTTCCCCTGGCTTACCCAGCGACCTTTCTTACACAGCCCAGGCCCATCTGCCTAGGGATGTCTCTGCCTACAGTGGGCTGGACCCTCCCACGTCAATTAGAAATCAAGAAAATGCCTCACAGACATGCCCGTAGGCCAATCTGATGGAGGAAATTCTTCATTTGAGGTTCCATCTTCCCAGGTGTGCCTAAGTGTGCGTCATGTTGATAAAAAAGAACAAAACAACAAAACAAAACAAAAAACCCAAAAACAAAAAGTCCAACAACAACAGAAAACCAAGACAAAACAAAACAACAACAGCAACAAAACCAGCACAGAAGCCGTCACCAGACATCTTTAGTTTTTAACCACACCATAAGATGCCACCTTAGAGATTACTGTTTCATTGTAAATGGCCACATTATATATGGAGGAGGCTTTGGTTGTTAGCCTTAGCCTTTAACAGACGTGCTCTCCATCTAGCCCTTGGAGGAGGCTTTGGAAGATGCAAGCATTAAGAGACTGCGTTAAGTCCTAAGTCACCAATGAAGGAGACATGGGAGCTGATGGTGGCCTCTGTCTCCAGCCGTTATCCCCACAGAATGTCACTGCTAATAAAACTGTGAGAGTAAGTTTCTACAAATTTAACTTTTACTAGAAGACCTTGGTCTAGTCCTTTCTATAAAAAACCAGAGGGTTGGGGCTGGCGAGATGGCTCAGCAGGTAAAGGCACTTTCTGCCAAGCCTGGCAGCCTGAGTTCAAACCCTAGAACTCACATGGTGGAAAGAGAGAGCCACTTCCCACAAGTTGTCTCTGGCCTCCGCATATGTGCTATGGCATGCATACCTGTGTGCATGGACACACACCTAAACATACACACAAAATAAATACAGGTTAAAAAGCAAGAGCAGAGGACTGGGACATACTGTACCTCTGTCCCTCCAGTCAGTACCTACAGCAGAAGCAAGAGACTCAGTATTGGCCAACCACTTAATCCTCAAATTGTCAACCAGAATGTGATTGTTAAAAAAGAATGATGACACAATAAGGCATCCCAGCAAGTTGTGTGAACACATGAAGAGAAATTAAGGGCATTAGGAGCGTGTATTGGGACTCGAGAGATGCTGTCCTGTGGACCATATGGAGGCTGGGCAGGGATCCAGGTACTAATGGGAGGGAGAGAGATGGAGCAAAGAGAGCTCCAGGCAGAAGGGGCATGTGAGCAGGACCGTTTCCTAGAGGAGGGCACCACTGGGGGCAGAAGCCAGCAGGGGCCAGACTCTGCATCCCCCGCCCAGGGGTGGATTTTCACACTTCTAAGAGCAGCTGGTTCTTCCGAGTTTGGGGTTGGCTAGGCAGGGCTCAGAGGGGTGCTTTCAGGAGAGGTCTGGCCGTTTAGCTGGCAGCAAACAGGGAGTAGGTCACTGCAAGCAGGGGGCTCTGGCACCTGTGCTATTGATGGGAAGCCGTGTGGAAGCCAGCTATCGGTAGGTGATTTTCTTTCCTAATTAAAAATATGTTCTTTTTGTCTCTTTTCTTCCATGCTGTCTTTTTAATGCTTAAAAACTTTTTGTTCTGGAAATAATTTTCTAGATAAATTTTAAAATTGAAAAACAGGACAAAGAATATCCATGTACCTTTAACTCAAATTCATATTAAAACACTTTTAATTATAAAAACACCCCTTTCTCCTGCTAAAACCTTCAAAGTATGGAATGGGAAAAGTGCCGGTCTCCTCCCTTCCTGTTTCCTACAGTTGCTGCTTTGTGAATTTGGAGTGCATCCTTCCACACAGCTTTCTAAACTCTGTGCCTAGGGCAGGGAATGTGGAGGCTCTGAGCTGCAGATAGTATCTGGGGTCTACGTTCCATGTAGACTTGGGCACTGACCGCCTGGGGACAGGCGTGAAGTAGGAAAACCAAAGGCTTCAGATGGTGGTCTGGGCAGAGCAGGTAAGGGGAGTAGACAGTGCAAGTAGACAGCAGGAGAGGAGCCAACGGGGCCGTGCCTAGGGCTGTAGGAGACCCCAGAATTTCAGCATTGTCATGTCTCTTTGAAGTCAGAATGAAGGGAGTCACAGTGGCAGAGGACCCATGAAACCACTGAGATAGGGAATGGGAATGGGGACCCCTCAGGAGTCAGTTCAGTTGCCTTGACTCCAGCCCCAAGTCTGGGGTTTGGGAGACTGGCAGGGGCCACCTACCTCAGTGCAGAGGCAGGATACAGGGCACAGGGTACCAACCAGGGCTGATGGGGCAGTGACTCCTGTGCTGCCTCCCCAGCTCCTTGGTTAGCCTGATGGAGACATTCAATGAGAAGGCCGAGCAGCTGGTGGAGATTCTGGAGGCCAAGGCAGATGGACAGACACCCGTGTCCATGCAGGACATGCTGACCTGCGCCACCATCGACATCCTGGCCAAGGTGACAGGTGGCTCTGGAGGAGAGGGAAAGGTTGGGGCACAGGGGGCTGAGAATTCTCTTCTTCCTTCCTTGCCCCTACCTCCCCTTCTCTGCGCTCTGTATATTTTTATACATGTTGTTACTTTGATTATTTAAAACAACCTAGTGTGAGACAGACCAGAGTTCTATCTCAGTCTGCAGAAACGGACCTAGAGAGGTGTTAGATGTGGCCTGGGCTGGTCAGGGCAAAGGCAGTGTTCTGAGGCCTCCCTGTCTCCATTCCCCCTCTGCGTACCCACAGGACATGACTGGACTGGTCAGAGTAGACTTGGCAGTGACTCAGATATCTCCAAACCCCATCTGAAGGCAGGTGTCATGCAGGGCATCGAGTGGAATTATTATTGTTGTTATTCTGTGAGTGAACAGAGGGAGGGTGGGGTGTGGACCCTTGAGGAAGACTGCAGCTCAGGGGGGCCAGGCATCTGGCCCAGGGAGGAAGTCAAGGTCCTGGACTGCCTGTGGGGTTGAACTCATCCTGGGTCACTGTCAGGAGGGTTTCTAGCAGTATGTGCCTGGATGTGCTGTCCCTGAGGCCCCAGGACACGACCTCTCCCTTCTGTCTCCACAGGCAGCTTTTGGGATGGAGACCAGCATGCTGCTGGGTGCCCAGAAGCCCCTATCACAGGCAGTGAAGGTCATGCTGGAGGGCATCAGCGCATCCCGCAACACCCTGGCAAAGGTACTCCTCTGTTCCTCCCCAGTGACTGTTCCACAGCTGCACCACTGTGTCTGCTAAAACACCTCCTTCAGGGACTTTTCAGAATGGGTTTTACATTCTGCTATGTCCAAAATGACTTTTGAATCCAGATTTGCATGTGTTTCCTAAAACCAGAGGCACAAAATCAGAACAGTGTAATGTAAGTCACGAGTTAACCTTCGTCTTGTGTTAAATGCTCCCCAAAGCAGACATTCTGGCTATGATGACTTCACCATGTGGGAAGTCACCATCCTCAGCATTTCACCTCTTCGTCATAAGATGGCTGTGGTGGCTCTAGCTAGCACCTCCTTATTCTAGACGTGAAGAAGAAGAGGAAGGTGGTTCCTGGAGTTGTGTCCAGGTTCCCTTCTGTTCCCTGGGACTTCAGTCTCTGAGCTTGCAGCTCCCCCAGCCACCCTATCCTTTCAGCCATTGGCTCCACTTCACGTCCCCCTGGCCCTGGCATCCTCCTTCCCATGCTGTCCTGTCTGCCTCATTAGGAGGCCCTCTCCTCTTAAGTGCTGCAGGGCATCATTTCTAGGGATTTGGTACCGGAGGGGGAAGCTCAGGCATGGACTCTGCCCACCACCTTGAGCTGGTCTGCCTGGCTGCTTCCTGTTTTCTAGAATTCCCTCTGCAAGCTGCTGCCTGGATTTGGGGGTGGGAGCGGTGAGGGAGCTGCGGGAGGTTCAGGGCCGCCTTGACCTGGAGCTTTCATTCAGTTCATGCCAGGGAAGAGAAAGCAGCTGCGGGAGATCCGAGAGAGCATCCGCCTCCTGCGCCAGGTGGGGAAGGACTGGGTGCAGCGCCGCCGCGAGGCCCTGAAGAGGGGCGAGGACGTCCCGGCCGACATCCTCACGCAGATTCTCAAAGGTGCTGGGTGCTTGCCTGCGAGCAGGGTGGGGTGGGGCTGGCTGGGTGGTCCTCCTCCCCACTGTCCAACAGTCCAACTTCAGAAGACAAAAACCATTGGTGCTTTCGGAGCCAGGGGACCGGGAGCAGGGGCTGGCATGGGACTGACCTTGTCCTTGTCTTTCAGCTGAAGAGGGAGCCCAGGACGACCAGGTCCTGCTGGATAACTTTGTTACGTTCTTCATTGCGGGTACGTAGCTTGCACTGTGGATGGCTAAATTTTGTTCAGGGTTGCCTTTACGCTGATTGAAAGCTCAGGGGCTGCCTGAGCACTGCTTCCTGCAGGCCCGGGCCTGGCCCCAGGAGAAAGGAGCCTGTCTCCTTATAGTCCTTGTGACCTCTCTGGGGCTGGGGCTGTTTGGGAAGCCAGCTTCTTTGGCTCAGGAGAACTTGGCTGTGAATTCCAGCTCCCCCTTTCACTCAGGTTTTTGGGGAGGCCTTCATTAGATTGGCACATATATATGTGCTGAGAAACTTCATTCATTTGCTCATTTTCTTGAGTGTCCTTGCCTATCTAGAGGGCCCCCCTCTTACCTTCCAGCCAGCTGCAGATGCCCACTCCTTAGGGAAGCCCCCACAGATGGCCTAGTGCATCCTCATGCCTAGAGCCTCCCTTCCCTCTGCCCAATCCTCCTGGACTATCAGGCTGTGTTCATATGGTGGGACTGTGTCCCCCATCAGGAGCTTACCTGCTTCATGATAGTGGGGCTGCTTGGTGTGGACGCCTCTACATTCCCAAGGCCCTGTGTGGCAGGGATCCCCACAGATAGAGCAAGAATGAGCAGATGAGTGAACCTGGGGACTGGGAGGGCACAGGTGAACAGGCAGGTCATGGTCTGATGGCAGAGGTGCACAGATGACATGTTCTAATGGACAGGAGCCTGGCACATGGATGGTCTGAATCCATGTGGTGATTTGAATGAGAATGTCCCCCATATACTCCAAGTATTTGGACAGTTTGTCTGTAGTTGGTGGCATTGTTTGGGGAGGTTTTAGGAAGTGCGGCCTCCCTGGAGGAAGCATGTCACTGGGGGCGGGCTTTGAGAGTTCTTAATTAAACCTTGCTTAATTAAGCAAGAGTTTCCAGTTGCTTACTGCTTCCTGTGCCTGTTTCAAGAGGTGATCACTCCACTTTCTGCTCTAGCCACCTCCTGCCCATGCCTCCCTCATCATTATGGACAATCCCCTGGAACTATAAGCCCAATAAACTCTTCCTGCTATAAGTTGCCTTGGTCGTGGTGTCTTATCACAGCAACAGAGAAGTAGCTAATACAGTCCAGGTGGGGAGACGCCCATGCAGAGACTGTTGGGGCCGGACTGCAGGGAACCATCTTCACACAGGGTCAGAAGACTAGAGGAAGGTTCAGTTGGTAAAGCGCTTGCAGTACAGGCATGAGGACACCAGCTGGATTCTGGCCCACATACAAAGGCCAGTGTGATGGTATGCACGTGTAATCCTAGCTCTGGGTGTAGAGATGGGGGATCCCTGGATCTTGATGACTAGCCAGCCTAGTCCAGTCCATGAACTCCAGGCCTGTGAAAGACCCTGTCTCAAAAAATCAGGTGGATGACTCGTGTGGAATGAAACCTGAGGTTGACCTCTGGCCTCCACATGCTTCTTCCAACCGTACAAGGGTTCCAGGGATTGAACTCAAATCACCAGACTTGTACAAGTGCTTGTACCCCTGAGTCATCTCCCCAGTGAATGTGCATGCTTTTAAAAAATTATTTAATGCACAGCACACCAAAGCCTGGAACATTCCTATTTGTACATGTGACAGGACCAGCTCAATAGCTTTTACGATATGAAATATCTTTTTCGAAAGGCTTCTATGTTGGAGGCTTGGTCCTTGTATTAGTTGCTTTTCTGTTGCTGTGATAAAACACCACGACCTTAGAGAACTTAGAGAAGGAAAAGCTTATTGGGTTTATGGTTCCAGAGGGATAAACATCCATCATGGCAGGGGCGGTACAGCAGGAGGAAGGCAGCCAGAACAGGAAACTTGAGTGCTCAAATCCTTAAACAAGCAATGGAATGAAAGGTAGGAACTGGAAATGGAATGGGGCTACATACTCCCAAAGCCCACCCTCAGTGGCTTGCTTCCTCCAGCAAGGCTGCACCTCCTAAAGGTTCCACTACCACCCAAGCAGCGCCACCAACGGGAATCAAGCGTTCCAATACCTGAGGCTCTGGAGATGTTTCTCATTCAAACCACTATACCCCACCCACCACATACATATACACAGAGACGAAAGGCAGGAAGCATCTCTGAATGAAGGGCAGATCTTCCTTTCTGGCACTGGAGGCAAGTCCAGGGTGGGAGTCCTGGAGAGGTTAGGTCTCATTCCCCCTTTGAGAGGACTTCCCAGTGCTCCCCATCTCTCACTGAGGACTGAATAATCCCTTCACATCCCACAGCCCATGCTGAATCCCATCTACCTGCGCCTGGGGGGAGCAAGTGCCATCTCCTGCCCTTTGTGTGGAACCAGGGGACCCAGGATGAGGTGCTTTGCTGGTCACAGCTCATAGAAGAGAGGTAGCCCATGGTCATAACTGCATCTGTCCTTCGGGTCATTCCTGAGCTACCCTGGCTGTGAGATCCCAGGAACAGGTAGCCTCACCTCCCTGTGCCAGCTGGCTGTGAGTGGCCCCTGCTGAAGCATTCACACCACTCAAAAGCATTCATGAGACACAGTTTCCCTCTACTCCACCCCCATCCCCCGAGGGTTTTGACACTGTCAACTTGCCAGCATCCTGCCTAACCTCAGAATTGACCCTCTGGAGATGACCCATAGCATCTGGTTGGGGCAGTTCCCCTGTTAGTCTCCATGATTGGAGGGACACATCCCTCCTTGGACCTCTGGGGCTGCAAAGGCTTTGGGCCGGGATACCACAGACTGGGTAGGGCAGGACCTTGGGCTTAAACACTTTTGACTTCAAGTTTCTCTTAGTTTTGTTTTTTCTTTTCTGCAAAATGGGGGCAACTGCCCTCCGGGCTGTGAGGAGGATGATGGGAAGAAGCAACTTTCAGACATCTAAGCAGAGAGATGGGGCAGATGACTTGCAAAGACCAACGGACCATCTCCTTCATATTGCAGCCATTGGGGAACAGTGTAGGGGAGGTCTCAGCTGCCACCAAGAGCCTAGGGCCCCAGAGCCCCCATGGTCCCACCCAGAGCAGTGGCTCTCCTTCTTCTCCACAGGTCACGAGACCTCTGCCAACCACTTGGCCTTCACGGTGATGGAGTTGTCTCGCCAGCCTGAGATTGTGGCAAGGTATGAAAGCTGCCCTCGGGGTTGGCAAAGGGCTTTTCTGATGTCTTGTCCCAAGGACCATGTGCCTTCGCCTCCCACGGCTGAAACTCTCGTGGAACCTACTTCCCTTCACCCCAAGGCCTTTGCATTTGCTCTTCCCTGGTCTGGGTGCTCTGCCCCTGCTTTCCTCCAGATCAAGTCTGTTTTAGCCACGAAACCACAAACTTCAGGGTAGCAACAACCATGGCTCTGTCCCTTCTACCATGCACGGATTCTGGGCTGGCACTGAGCACAGAGATTCTAGCACAGCTGGCCACCAGCCCTGGTGGGACCAAAGACAGTGGCAGCAGACATGGTGCTGGGACTGGTCAGGTTCCAGCGGGCCTCCTTTGCAGACAGGCACCTTCAGGGTGACAGACAGGACCAAGCTCAGAGCCCTCTGGCCATGTAAGGTGACACAGGAGCTCTTGGAAAGGGGGACAAGCCCCAATTATAAGCATTATAAGTTGTCTCCATTGTGAGAGGCAGAGTGAAAGAGGGTGTGAGAATATAAAATATCTTATTGAATTTTACATATATATGTATATACAGGGGCTGGAGAGATGGCTCAGTGGTGAAGAGCACTGGCTACTCTTGCAGAGGGCCCAGGTTCAGTTCCCAGCACCTACATGACAGCTAACAGCTGTCCTTAACTCCAGTTCCAGAGGATTCAGTGCCCTCTTCTGGCCTCCACGGGCATTGTATGCCTGTGGTGCACTTACATATAAGCAGGCAAAGCACATAAAATAAAAATGAATCAAAAAATTAAAAAATATCAATACATATCACACATAGATATATTAGAAATTTGCACTTTATATAAAAAGTGGGGTTCTAAGGGTGTGCTCAGTGGTGGAATGCTTGTCCAGCATGCACAAGTCCCCCCTGACTTCATCTCCAGCTCTGGGGAAATGTTTTACATTTGAACTATTTTTTTTATTTTATGTATATGCGTGTATTGCCTACATGTAGGAAAGTGCACCTGTGTTGTGCAATGCCTGCAGAGGTCATAAGAGGCTGTCGATCCCCTGGGACTGGAGTTACGGACAGTTGTTAGTGGTCATGTGGATGCTGGGATTCAAACCCGGGTCTTCTGCAAGAACAACCAGTGTTCTTAACCGCTGAGCCATCTCTCCTGCCCCCATTTGAACTATTTTTAAGAGCACAGTCCAGGGACACTGACACCACTGTGCAGACCTTGCTGCCACCTGGCCTCGTAACCCTTTCATATTCCCGACTCCAAAGCCTGTCCCCATTAAACAACTCCCTCCCCCAGGTGCCTGGTGTGAGTAACGTCAGACTCCATTTGTCCTTCTGTTCCTGGTTTGTGTTTACTCAGAAGAGAGCCTTCAAGGTTCATGCATGTTGGAGCCTTGGGTCAGAATGGCCTTTTATTTATTTATTTATTTTTAATTTTTTTGGTTTTTAAAAAAAATTTATTTTACTTTATTTTTAAAAACTTTTTTATTTTTTAAAGTTTATTTATTTAATTTTTTGTGTGTGAGCGTGTTACCTGTATGTGTGCAAATGCACCCATGTTGTGTAATGCCTATAGAGGTCAGAAGAGGGCATCAGATCCCCTGGAACTGGAGTTACAGACAGTTGTTAGCCACCATGTGGGTGCTGGGAACTGAACCTGGTGCTCCTAACCACTGAGCCATCTCTCCAGTCCCATGGTCTTCCTTCTTTTGAAATACTGGATCCTGCTCCATCTACCAGATGGTGAAGGGTCCTCAGGCTCTCTGTATACCTGTCCCACATTTGCTGCCCTCAGGCTCTCTGTATACCTGTCTCACATTTGCTGCCCTTAGTGGTGCTGTGAATGTAGGTGTGCAATTACATCCTTGTGTCACCACCCGCAGATCTTTTGGATTTATTCCCTGAGATGGAATCACCATGTCTGCTCCTATTTTAACGTCTGTGGGGGCTTTCCACGGCAGCTACACAATTCCCTCTGATAGTGCATCTTGGAGCTGGCATCCTGTTCCTCCATGGCTCAGCATCATGTGTCCTTTTCTGGTTTAAAATTTCTTTTTATAGGGCTGGAGAGATGGCTCAGCAGTTAAGAGTAGTGACTGCTCTTGCAGAGGACCCAGGTTCCATTCTAAAAAATTCTATTTATATTTTTCTTTTTTTAAAAAAGTATTTTATTTATTATTTTTTATTTTATGTGTATGAGTATATTGCCTATGTGTGTATAAGTACAGAGGGCATTGGATCCCCTGGAAATGGAGTACAGACAGTTATTAGCTACCATGTAGGTGCTGGGAATTGAACCTGGTTCCTCTGAAAGAGCAACCAGTGCTCTTAACCACTGAGCCATCTCTCCAGCCCCTCTATATATTTTTTCATTGCTATCCTGATGGGTGTGGAGTGGTCCAGATCCATCCTAAGGCTGCATATTATTTTAACCACCCACATCCTAAAGCTCACCCAAGCATCTTCCCTGGACCATTCATACGACTGTTTCTAACTACTGTCAGCCGGGCTATGACAGGCATCCTCACCGACAAGCCCATGTAGGGCGAGCTTCAAACAAGTGTTTTAAGGCTGCAGGAATGTGGTTCCTATTTACTTTTGGGTGCGGCCTGGCTAGCTGCCTTTCACAATGGGGCAGGCAATGTTTGCTGGTGAGAACTCCATGCCTTGCCTTTCAATCTGCCTTCTACCAGGCTTTTTAAAAAAATATATTATTTTTATTTCATGTGTATGAATGTATTGCCTACATGTATGTGAGTGCACCCGTGTCATGCAATGCTGCGGAGGTCAGAAGAGGGCTTCGGATTTCTCTGGAACTGGAGTTAAGGATGGTTCATAGCCGCCATGTGGGTGCTGGGAATTGAACCTGGGTCCTCTGCAAGAGCAGTCAGTGCTCTTAACCGCTGAGCCATCTCTCCAGCCCCCTACTGGTCTTCTTAACCTTGCTATGGGCAGGAGTCTGTCTCCAGAAGTGAACTTGTCTGTCTTACCTGGCAGACTACAGGCTGAGGTGGATGAAGTTGTTGGCTCCAAGAGGCACCTGGACTTCGAGGACCTGGGGAGACTGCAATACCTATCCCAGGTGTGTGGTGAGGGAGGGATGCCTCCTAGCAGATGTAGGGATGCAGGGAGTCAGACCTGCTGCCTCACTGGGTCCTCCCGTGCAGTTGTCAAACTGCAGCTCTGAGAGGACTTTGGAGACCCAGCTGCCCTAGCTTCATGACAGCAGGCTGAAAGGACACTCCTCCTGCAACCCTAGTGTACAGCCTGTGTAGCTAAGGTCAGAAAGAGGCCGTTAGCGAGGGGGGCAGAATATTCCTCCAGTCTAGGCTTGCATGATGCCTAAGCTCGTCTTCTCACTGTGGGGCTGGTTCAGCAGGCTCTCCCATGCTGACCAAATGCAGGGTCCGTTTGCTCCAGGCCACCCTCTGTAACGGGAGGAGCCCTGCCTTCTGGTCCCAGTGTTGTGACGTAGTCCTTGACAATAACCTCCTTTGGCCACATGAGGAGTTGGACCGCCATCCTGGGGTTCTGGGCCATCCTGGGACAGGGTGTGCACTGGGAATGAATGGGGTGGGAGCAGTACATGCTGCCACTGGCCTGGGGACCTCTTGACTTCCTGTGTCATCTCCCTGTGTATAGGTCCTCAAAGAGTCACTGAGGCTGTACCCACCAGCATGGGGCACCTTCCGCCTGCTGGAGGAGGAGACCTTGATTGATGGGGTCAGAGTCCCTGGCAACACTCCTCTCTTGGTGCGTGGCCCTGGGTCGGGCTGACCTGCTCCAGGGTAGCCCAGTGGGGACACTTCCCTGAGGTCAGGGAAGCCATGGGTCTGTTACTGTCATAGCACTGACTTCCCCGTGTGGAGGGGGGAGGTATACGTGTGTGTATGCATGTTTACATGTGAGCACACATGGAAGTGTATGTGGTATGCATGTATGTGGAAGCCTGTGGTTGATGTTGGGAATCATCTGAGATGGCTCTTCCACATTATTCATCCAGGCAGGGTCTCTCAGTCAATCCCAGAGCTCATAGATATGGCTAGTCTCACTGGCTAGCTTGCTCTTAGAGATCCTGTCTCTGCCTTCCTGGGGCTGGAATTACAGGAGGGCAGCCTCCCTCATTGGGCATTTATGTGGGTTTTGGGGACCGAACTGCTGTCCTCACATTTGCATAGTGAGCGCTTTAACCACTGAGCCATCTCTCCAGTGACTATCCCCATATTTTCTTAGCTCTTCTTTGTCTATACAGCACCTCTTCCCACTGGTCCATGGCATCTGTCTGTGCATTTCCTTTCATGTGTTCACTGGTTCGTCGCTTGTAATAACTCCTCTAAACCCACCACCCATCTCTGCATGCCACTCCCCTGGCCCTCAGGTGTGTGTGCGTGCGTGTGTGTGTGTGTGGGTGTGTGTGTGTGTGGGTGTGTGTGGGTGTGTGTAGCCTAGGTGGGTCTGCCCACTCAGTGCCTATGAGGCCATGTGCCAGACAGAAGATCAAGCAGCAGAGGCAGCCACAAGGCACAGGGGAACTGTCAGTGAGTAATGAAGAAATGACAGCCAGGCAGGATGAGGGCACATGTGGACAGGGCTTTGAGGTGTGCAGAGGAGGCCCCACACAAGCTCCAGCTCCCTGGTCCCCGCACCACAGGTTCCTGTGTGCCTGGCTCATCCTTGTGCGGTCGGGGTGATGGTACCCAAGTCATGGTTTCTTCAGATGCACGGGATAATGCCCAGAAAACATCCCTGGCTCATAGCTGATGCCCTTGACCCCTGACCCCTGACCTCGTACCTAGTATTCACTTTGCTTGCTTAACTTCAGGCTGCTCACTTGCTGCCCCAGACTCAGCACAGAGAAGTGAGGTGGGCAGCTTAGGAAAGGATAGGCAAGGCGGGGGCCAGTGCCCACAGCCCAGTTATGGGGTGTATCACTTTTCCAGGGCCAGACACAACCCCTAAAGGTTGAGGGCACAGAGGGCATACCAGCCCCCATCAGGAGAACCCCGGGTGCAGGTGATACAATGCAGCTTTCCCAGTCTCTGTCTTGAAGACCGAAGTGACCCTGAGTTACTAGAGGCCGCCGCCCCCAGGGAACAGGAGGAATCACCTCCCACCACCAAGTCTCAGAGCCTCTGGTCACTTAGTTTTATTGTGTGACTTCAGGCAAGTCACTGAGTTTCTCTCTGAACCTGTAAAACAGGTGTCACTGTGGCTCCCCACATAGTACACCCTGCTGGTCATGGGCATATCACACTGTCCCCTCTTAGAGGTTTTTTTGGGGGGGGGTCAGTGGAATGTCACACCTTCCTGAGCAGGTAGAAAGGGGCACCCTGCTTCAAGTCATCCCATTAAGGGGCTGCAGTGGGTTGGAGCACGACCTGGGAACCAGTGACACCAGCCCCTTTGCCTAGCAGTTCAGCACTTACGTCATGGGGCGAATGGACACCTACTTTGAAGATCCGCTGACTTTCAACCCTGACCGCTTCAGCCCAGGAGCACCGAAGTAAGTCCCTCCCCATGCTGCCACGATGGCATGGCTGAGCCGCCTGGACCCACCGGACCCCGGCAGTCTCTACAGCCCTCAGAGGGGTTGTGGAGGATGTCCTAGCTCAGAGACACTGGGCCGCCTGCTGTCTTAGCTTCTTTTCTGTTGCTGTGATAAAATACTCTGGCAAAAGCAACATAAGGGGGAAAGGACTTAGTCTGGTTCAGAGTTCAAGGTTATGGTCCATCATTGTGGGGGAAGTCATGGGAGCAGGAGCTGGAGGAAGCTGGTCACAGTGCCTTCCCTGTATATATAGTCCAGGACGTCTTGCCTGGGGAATGGTACCCACTGTGGGCCAGTCTTCCCATTCAATTAATGTAATTAAGATAATCCCCCACAGGCACGCACAGAGGGCATGCACAGAGGCCCCTTCCTGGGTATTCAATATAGACCCTGTCAGGTTGGTAGCTAATGGCATCACATTTGCCCAAGTGGTAGGGCTCAGAAGTCTGCTAAGGATGGCTGGTGCCCCCAGGCCCCGAGTTGGTCAACAGAGGGGAGAGCTGTGTGGACACTGCTCCTTGTGTTGACCCTGAGGGGCCTCTCTTCTGCAGGCCGAGGTTCACCTATTTCCCCTTCTCCTTGGGCCACCGCTCATGCATCGGGCAGCAGTTTGCTCAGGTAGGAGACACAGGGTTGGGGCCTCCCAGAGTGACTGAAGGTTGGGGGTTTAGGGATGAGGCTGGGCCTGCTTGACAGGAGGAGAACTAGGCAGGGAGGGCCCTGCCATGCATCTGTGCCCTCCACTGCCTGCTTTCCTCCCTCTGTCCCCTCCCCTGCCTCCTTCCCTCTCTATCCCTCCCCCCATGCCTTACACACAGATGGAGGTGAAGGTAGTCATGGCCAAACTGCTGCAGAGGATCGAGTTCCGGCTAGTGCCTGGGCAGCGTTTTGGGCTACAGGAGCAGGCCACGCTCAAGCCACTGGACCCTGTGCTGTGCACCCTTCGGCCCCGGGGCTGGCAGCCTGCACCCCCACCCCCACCCTGCTGAGCATTAGGCAGGATCAGACTCCTTGGGCCAGGACCTCATTGGCCCCCATTGCTGCCCATGGCCACCCACCTGTGTCTCTGCCCCATCCTCTGCCACCTTCCATGTGGGCCTGAGCCCTCACCTGCTTCACACCCTCAGCACTTCCTGTCACCTGCTGGCTTCTCAGTTCTTTCTGGTGGGCCCTGCCTGTCTCCCAGCCACCAATACCACTATCTGACCTTCTGCCCTGGCCACATCCTCAGAAGAGACACCCTAACTCTTGCTCACTCCCTAAAATCTTCAAGTGACACTTTCCCTAGGAAGCCCTCCTTGCCACCCACGGCTGGGCCAGGGTCCCTCCTCTGTGCTCCCTCGGTCACCTGTGCTACCTCTAACACACACTGACCACACTGTATTGTGAATGTCTGCTCATGTGACCAGCTGCCCTGCCAGGCTGTGAGCTCCACAGGGCAAGGTCTACGTGTGCTTCGCCTCTGAGCCCCCTGTTGCTAACCAGGGTCTGGCACAGAGTTGATGCCCAATAAATGTGTGTTGACTGCATGAACGAATGGCCACTCAGGCCATGGTGCTCTCCTTTTAGTCTGCTTCCCTGGGGGGGTTGAGGGGGATGATGACTGGGTCCCTAAGAGCTGGCACAGCTCTGGAAGCTGCCTGTTTACAAATGACGTTAGAGAAGCCCAGACAATACCACCTTGTAAGAAGCCTGTCCGTTACCAGAAGGGCCCATGTTGTCAGAAGCCAGTTTCCTGTTCCTCTTATAAGGCTGTGCTTCAAAGTGCTGAGTGACTCTGGGATGATAGGAGGGGTCCTGGCATCAAGAGCTTGGTTTGAGAGGGTTGGGGGTCTCAGGCAACTCTGAAAATCCTGACTAAGCTGAGCCCCCATACCTGCCTCATGCCTGCCAGCATCCGTGGGCTCTGTGTTGTACCTGCTGACCCAACCAAGGGAGGCTTTTGGCAGCCCCAAGGGTGGGGTCATGTGGAGGGGGCTGGGGTTGGAAGAAGCCCTTCCTCTCTCAGGCTGGCTGCTAACCCCCTGTTAGTCCATATACTCTCCCCACTCAGGGGAAATGGTCCTGGGTTCTTTCCCCACTGGGAGCCTGTGTTAGAGACAAATGCCTTCATCCCTGTCCAGCATCTGCATCCCCAGTAAGGCCCTTTCTCCACACTAGGGGAGGCACAGAAGTATGGGCCTTTGATATACACCACCTCCTTTGGCCCTCAGAGATCTTCCCAAGGAGCAGATGAAGAAACAGACTCAGGGGAGGAAGTGACCTGCTATGTTCAGGTGAGGCCTGGAGTGGAGCCAAGCATGGTATACATGTATCTGGGCGCCTGGCCTGTCCCTTCCCCAGCCTAGGTTGGCCTGCACAAATACTTTGGTCTCAGCCTCTGAACAGGGGTTCAGGAACACCTCTAGAATCATCAGAGTCTTCCCCACTCTCCTGACCACCTACACATGGCCAGGCGCCTATCTGGATACCCTACTTCTCCAGCACCTGTCTTTTTAGTGCTTTGCTAGGTGGCGCCAACCGCCCCCAACTCACTGTCCCTTACTATAACCCCCCCAACTCTTCTCTGAACTTCAGCAACCCTCCCACTGCCTACTTCTGCCTTCTTCTGTAGCTGTGTCTGACCCCCATAACAGTCCTTCCCTAACTATCCACCTGAAAGGGCCACAGGTCACCACACTCAGCCCTGTAGGGGCACAGCTAGGCCTGTCTAGAGCTCAGCTCCTTCAGGAAGCTTCAAGTTGCCAGTTTATCATCCTTAGACTTGGCCTGGCAGTTGCTGAGCCTGAGTCTTCACATCCCCGTTGGACCATATTCTTCCAGGGGATGGGAGAGGGAAAAGTCAAGGTCACGATCAGGCCATCATGGAGTAAAGTGCTCATGGTCCTTGGTGCCTGATGGCCCTCTGTCACTGCAGCCCTGAACTGGCTCTCAGTGCTGGAACTCAAAAGGATGGAGAGCAAGAGGACCAGGAGGCCCCCTTCTATAGGGCCAAAGCCTTCCTGAGCGGCTTCCTCTGCCACACAATGGGCTATCTGTGAGGGGCAGAGCTCTCAGTCCCAAGGGTCAAATCCTGGCCCCACCTGTCACTGGCTTTGGAGCTTGGGCCTCAGCTTCCCCCTCCAAAAGGGAGGACAGCTAACAGGACTCACTTCTTCATGTGGGAGTAGTTAAGAGCCTTCACAGGTGGGCCTGGGCTTGGCTTAGAGCCTCCAAAGTTCTGCTGGCAGGTATTAACATTTTTATTGCTTGGGCCTTGTGCCAGGTTAAGAAAGGCCTGTAGTACCCAGAGCAGCCGCACGGGGCCGCCCTGGTGCGGTGCTTCCAGGATCCGCTAACCAGGACAGGATGGATGACACCTTCTTCATCCCACCAATGGGCTGGAGTTGAGAGGAGCCAGGCCCCCCCCAGTCAGCCTCTTGCTGCCAGGCCACCCGACCCCCAGTTTCCTAAAACCGTTCCTGGAGATGGTTTAGATCTGGCGTGGGACGCGGGCAGGCTAGTAGAGAGGGGGGCTTGATGTCAAGAACCAGTCTGAACTCACAAACATTACTGGGTAAAAAAAAAATCCCGCACAAAGCAGGAGTGGTTGGGATTCAGGTTCTCCCCCGCGCTGGAGACTTAAAGCCTCTCTGCCCACCTCCGGAATGGTGACTTTTTCTGAAAGTTCCCTCCCTTGTTAAATCTGGACATAAGAATGTAGGGAGTTCGTGGGCTCTAAATCTACACTCTTCTGCTGGCAGGAAGCCTCCAGTGTGCACATTCCTGGGGAGGCAGCTTACACGTCTCCTCCTCCCCAGACCTGAGCCCCCTCAACTCAGAGCTGCTCCAGTTCCCAGGTCTTCTGCCTTTCAGACCAGTCAGGAGGCAGTTTGCAGTTGATCTGACTTTGCCAAGTGGCTAATAGCCTGATCTAAGTCAGGGGTGGTCTCGGGCAGCCTTTGTCAACCTAGCTGTGTGACCAGGTGGGAGGTTTTCTCCTCTATGTTCTGGTGTGGAGACCAGAGGCTGGTGGTCCTGTTGGGGACAATTCAGGTAAAAGAACAAGTCAGGTAAAAGCAGCTGTCCACAGGGCAGCTTCCAGGTGGGGGGCTGACAGGGATCCTGAGCCAGCCCTTACCCCTCCTGGCGTTTGTGGTCAAGTGGCTGGTTCTTTACACTGGTCCAGAGATACACTGGTTCTAGACTTTGCCTGGGACTGCACCTCTTTTTTTAATTTAATTTTATTTATTATTTTTATGTGTATGAGTGTATTGCCTGCATGTAGATAAGTGCATCCATGCCGTGCAGTGCCCAGAGATCAGAAGAGGGTGTTATATCCCCTAGAACTGGAGTTACGGACTGTTAGCTGCCATGAGGGTGCTGGGAATCGAACCCCAGTCCTCTGCAAGAGAGGCTGTCGGATCCCCTGGAACTGGAGTTATGGACAGTTGTTAGCTGCCATGTGGGTGCTGGGATTTGAACCTGGGTCTTCTGCAAGGACAACCAGTGTTCTTACCCCTGAGCCATCTCTCCAGCCCCAAGGGACTGCACTTTTTAAAAAAAATATTTTATTATTTTTATTTTATGTGTATGAGTGTATTGCCTGCATGTATGTGTCATGCAATGCCATGGAGGTCAGAAGAGGGCTTCAGATTCCCCTGGAACTGGAGTTAAGGACAGTTCATATCCGCCACATGGGTGCTGGGAATCAAACCTGGGTCCTCTGCAAGAGTAGTCAGTGCTCTTAACCGCTTATCCATCTCTCCAGCCCCGGGACTGCACCTCTTACATCCATACCTGCTCAGACCTCCCAGGGCTCTAGACAGCCTCAGGCTGGATATCCAAAAATAACCCTGGTTGGGGTATAGGCAGACAAGGGGACTTACTGTGGACAGAAGGTATTTCCTTTGATCAGCAACAGGGACCAGTAAGGAGAGGGTCAGGATCTCACCTTTCCCAGAACACAGGCTCTCCTGAATAGCCTTCTCACTAGAGAGCCATAATCACTCCTCCATCTCTGACCCTGTGGGCAGCCCCTGCCAGTAGGCCAGACCCTGGGCAGCCAGACAAAGTGGCCTCCCTGGCAGGAGGCAGGCTGGGAATTCTCACTGCCAAGGGCAAGTGTGTGGGTTCTGAGCCTCCAAGAGGGTGGGGTCTGGTCTGCCCTCTCCACTGCTTGCCTCAGGCGCAGCTAGCTTGACTTCTGGGGTCTAGCCCAAGGATAGGGCCTGTCCACATGCTGACCCTGGTCTGTCTCTGAGTGAGAGACCCTGAGTAGGGAAGGGTCACTGATAGAGGAGGCACTTACCTTTGAAGCACTACACATGAAGGCCTGTTCAGACCCATCTTTCCTTGGAGTACGTATGGGGCCCCAGTACTATAGACACAGCTCAAGGGCACCTTCCCTGCCACAGGGCCCGAGACAGAGGGGGAGGGAGGCCTTAGTGCTTAGGGGCTCTGTCTCTACCTCAGAACCCATGACATGAAGCCTGGGAAGGCTTCTTGCTAGCCTCTGTCCCCTTCAGCATAGAGTTAGGCTATGTGGGGCTTAAGCCAGATATGAGGGCCTTGACTTGAGCAGCTCAGATGTCTTCTCCTCCTCCAACCCCAGGGACACTGGAGCAGCTAGATAGGCCTGTCAGGTCTTTCTCCTGGCCTGGAACCTGGAGGTACCCAGGAAGTGATTGGCTTGGATGCCTGGACTGGGCCAAGGGGCTGGATATAGGAAGTTAACTCCTAGGACTGTGCTGGAGTTCATGTGCGTGTGTGTCGTGTCGTGGTGTGTGTGTGTGTGTGTGTGTGTGTGTGTGTGTGTGTGTGTCCATGCCCTGTGGTTGTGTATAAGCCCCATATATGTGAGCCCATGTGTGTGAGCTGTGTGTGTGTGAATCACAGGGGTGCACTTTTGTGTCTGCTTGTGTCTTTTTGCATTTCTGTGTGTTCCCGTGGTCTTCTTGTCTCTGTCTTGTTGCATGTGAGATGAATGTATGGGTCTCAGCAAGTGTCTGTCTGTGCATGCATGTGTGTCTCCAGCTCTGTGTGTCTGACCTTATCTCAGCTGGAGGAGGTGTCTTTTCTAACCAGAGGCTGTGGAACACAGAAGTCCCACCACAAGCTAGGCCCTAGCCAACCAGCCTACATTCCATACTCAGCTCATATATGGTGAGGTCAGGTCACCTATTCAAGGCCACTTGCCCAAGGCCACCTGTCTGTCCAGGAGGCATGCTTCTGTTCAGTGCAGATGTGTACCTGCCTTCAAGTCCTGACCACTGAGGTCCCAGGGGAAGGAAAAGAACATCTCCATCAGGGAGGAGATTCTGGAGAAAGTGTGGTGGTGGCGGGGAGCAGGTGCCAGCAGTGGGAGGGTATGTGGGAAGTGGACCTCCTCGCTGACTCCTATCCCAGATGCCAGGCTCATGGCTGGGCCCCACTGATGCCCAGCAAATACGTACCTTTCCATGCCTGTTCCCCTTCCAGTAGCCCCAACTCCTGCCTGGTCTTATCTCCCATCACATCTGCCAATCCCTCACCATTCCTGGGGTGAGCTCTTTCCCACAGTGGCCCTTCTCCTGTTGGCTCTCTGCTCCTGACCATTACTTACCAGGTCTCTGCTGAACCACTCTCCACAGGAGCCTTCTTGACCACTTGTCCTGCTCTCCTGCCCTTAGCCCAAGGCCCCGAGAGACCGCACAAAACCCTCACTGGAACCCTGGTAGCTGCCACCATGTGGTGGCCCCCACCAAGCAGTTGTTGAAATTGGCATCAGATGCTTGTGAGCCCTAGGAGCTCATGGGCCCCAGAACAGTCAGCTGGAGACAGAACTTCAGCAAGAGCTGGTGGAAGCCTGGGGCATGTTTGTACGTGCTTGCCTCCCTGCACAGGTAAGGCACATGTATGTACATTTGCACATGCTCATACACGTATTCATTCTGAGACCCATACGTAGCCTGCGTGCCTGCTACCATACATGTATGCGCACACTTGCACACAGAGCACCTGTGCACACCCACCTGTGCATACGTTCTCACACATGCAGTATAGTGGGTTCACTCACGGCTGCTATGACCTCAAGAGCAAGAGAATGAAGCCGTCATCCCCGCCCCCCATGTTCCTGCAATAAAGAGAACAGGAAGGGACTTGGGGCCAAGGACAGGAAGAGGAAGTGGCCTGCACACAGGAGCCAGCACTGGGCAGTCCCTCTGGGTGGGACATAGAGACCGACAGATACAGGTGGGAGGTAGAGTGCAACCCTCCCCCCCTCTTGGCACCTGGTCGTCATTTTATGTCATCCCCTGCCGGGGAAGATCCTGAGGCTGGAGCCAGGCTTGCCCCAGTCATTCTGGGGTCCTCATGGAGCTGGTATCTGACCTGGTCCATGTACCACCAGGCTCCTTCCAGCCTTGGTCTTATATCCCAACTGCCAGTGGCCAAGGAGGGCATCTCTGTGGAGTCTCCTTCTTGAGCTCCACTGTTTGCCCCATACAAGTCACATACCCTGACACTCTGGCCTGGACTGTGGAAGTCTTCCAAGCTCCTGTCCTATGCCATGATCCTATGAAACGAGCCCATCCTAGGATCCCAGAGCAGGTGCTGCAGAGAGTCCCAAGATGGCCATGTGTGCTTGATGGCAAGGGATCTGTGGGACACCCTCCTGCCTAGTCCGGCTTAAGGCTACATAGGAGGTGCCCATTGATGCTTCCACGGTGTGGATGCAGAGGTACCCAAGGGGGCCCCTGCAGCTCAAAGCCACAGAGCAAGGCAGGCTCTAAGAGATAAGACTGATTCCCCAATACCCTCCCACTAGCACCTCTTTGATGGTCATCCCTTTGCTGGTCCCACCCACAGTTGCACAGGCAACATCTGTGGACACAGCTGATGTTAATCCCTTACTATCCCCACACCCCAAAGGCAAGGTGAGCTGCTGTCCTGAAGCCCCACTTCTCCTTCATGCACACCCTTCCCATCCCTCATTTTTCACACAGCTGCGGGGGTCTGCCTGGCACTAGGTGATCCTGGCTGGGTACCTGGATGGTGAGGAGGAAGGAGAGGACACACAGGTGGAGGAGGCAGGGGTCCCAGGGCTCTGGACACAGTTCCAGGGGGCTGGGTTTGCTTTTTTTTTTCTTCACTTAAAATTCTCAGCTCAGTTGGGAGGGACCCAGGAAGGTCAACAGTTCTGGCTTCTCTGAGACTGAGGGTGTTCCAGGATGCATGCAGGATGTTCAGGGCTATAACCGGGGATAAGGCAGATAAACAGGACAAATAGTCACCCTCAAGGGACCCCAAAGCCATTACTTCAGCCTCACCTGCTGTTTGAACTCCTTTTGTCCTTCTGTCCAGCCCTGCTTGCACACTTCCAGGAGTGGTGAGCTCATTAACTTATCAGGGTAACAACTACCAAGGGCTGGACACTGTGAGGACTAGGCACTGACCACAGGGAGGTCAGAGTTAGCTGAGTGGTGTACAGGGGCAGTGGAGGGACAGTACTGGGAACCCTGAGCTGTGGCTGGGCAGACAAGAAGAGGAGGAAAAGGGAGGTGGGGGAGAACAAGGGAGAAGAATGCGGAGAGGGGAGGGGGAGGAGGGGGAGGGGGAGGAGAAGGGATTGGAAAACAGAGGGGAGGCTGGAAAATGGTGGAGGAGGAGGACGAGAACGAGGACGAGGAGTAGGAGGAGGAGAAGAAGAGGAGGGGGAGGGGAGGAGGACGAGGAGGAGGAGGAGGAGGAAACAGTATGGGCAAGACCAGGAGGCCTGGACCCCTTAGCAGAGTCTGAATTCCTTTACCGATCTCTGCCAGTCAGTGGGCCAGTGCCGAGGATGAGATGTGACTTCAAACTCCTCCTCCCTCCCCACCCCTAGAAAGGAATTTCCTTAGAAACTTGGTGGCATCAACCCTCCTGCCTTCCCTCTGTAGATCTTTGAGCTGAGAAAGGCCTTAGTGCTCATGGAGGAGCTGCCAGCAGGGCCAAGAGCCATTTTTCCGAGGCTCCTTGGTCCTCCGCACCAGGATCCACCCCCTCCTACTGGAAGCAGGTCTCACTTCGCCTGCCTGAGACCATCCCTCTACAAGTGTCATCCTTCCTGCCTGGGACCACTGCCACCCTCTTACTGGGGCCGCCACCCCCTTCCTCTGCACCTGCTGACCCTGTTGTTCCTAAATTGCCCTCTTGCTCTGAGAAACCCGTCCCACAGTAAGACCAACTCCTATGCAGCTCTTCCAGTAAAGCCCTCCCAGAGCTCTCTGAGTTCATTCCCAGCTTCCTTGCTTTTTCTTTAAACAGCTTCACTTTATGTGCATCTTGCAACCAAGCTGGGCAGACCTCGGTTCCCAGGGACCCAGGAGCCCAACACTGGGATGATGCCTTTAGGAACGCTTACACTGGACTTCCCTCTACCTTGTAGGAGCCAGGAGAGAGCTGATTTGATGTCTGGCCAAGTATACAGCAAGCACAGGCTAAATGCTTGTAGCGTGTGTTCTCTCAACCTTGTGTTTCCTGTGTGCTGCTCTGTGCCAGGCACCGAATCACTTCTCTTCCTGTAGGGAGCTTCTCTCTTAACCCAGCCCCCAAACATGTATGGGGTAGTAAGCACCCAGTACGTGTGTCCAGAAGTGTGGGTGCTCTTGGTTGAACAAAGGCCAGGCTTCCTACTCCTTTAGAGACAGACAGCCTGGCTCCAGATCCCGGTTACACCCCTAGAGGGCTGGCTTCGCTTTAGGGTCGCTTAACCCTGTCTGACGCGGAGCTGATGTGGCTGGCTTTTCGGAAGGCAAAAGGAGATGACAAGTGTGGCGGTGCTGGGCATGGCTCCTGGTACCAGCACTCAGTGGCAGCATCCCTAACTGTTCTCCTTCACTAATTGCCCATAAATGGTCCTGGCTCAGTGGGTGGGGACCAGTCACCAAGAGGGAGGGAGGGAACAGGCATTGCATAGTCTTCAGAGCTGGGGTCCTGGGGACTGGTCCAGCACCCAGGGGTGCAGTGGTTTCTCAGGCAACATTCCAGGGCTGCTTGGGAGAGGCCCCAGGCAGGGGAGGGCAGTGCCCAGAATTATCCACCAATAGCACAGGCTCCTGGCACCGGGAGCTGCTCTTATCTGCCCAGCCCAGCATGGGGGGTGGCCAGGCTGACTGAGGCGGGACGCTGCCTAGGGACTGGACACGGAACAGCCCCGAGCCAGGCTGGGTGGGTGACGGCTGCTGAGGGCTCTGAGCGTCCCTGCAGGCTGGTGGCCAGCTGGCCACCCATCTCCCCCACCATGTCGGACGGCGAGGGCCCCTCAGCCGGTGAGTGGCAGTGCTATATTTACCCACCGTGGCTCCGGTTGCAGAGGCAAGGCCTCCGCTCACCAAGGGCACAGGGCCCCTCACAAGCTGTAGGCAGCTGTGAGGTGGGGACCCCTTCCTCCTAGCCTGGCATCTGGGAGCTGCAGCTCAGAAGATGCAGTTTAACTTTTGAAGCTGAGTCCTGACAGCACCTCCTGACTTCCCAGTGGGCTTCAGCAGGAAGCTGTGCCTACAGCTGTCAGCCTGGAGAAGGGGGTAGGGCTGACCACCGAGTGCAGTGATCAAGCTAGATGCTGGACCCCAAGCTGGGTGCAGGGTGCATGGGTCCCTGATACTATATGCCAAGCAGTGCATGTATACATTTATCTGGGGGAGAGCCCACAGGTCCCAGAAAAGTTTTGCAGAATCCTGAGTCCCTCCACCAGTTTGAGGTCGACTTCCAGTGAACTCCAAACTCTCTGGACTGGAGGTGGCTAGGGACACAGGTGAGCACAGATGCAGTCAGAGTCTGGGTCCTGCCCACATGCCCTGCCTTCTCTTGGGCAGGAGCTGTGGTGGGGATTGGCTATCCTAGTTAAAGGGCAAGCTAAGATGTTTCCTTGAAGCAACCTGGGGCAGGGTGGGAGCAGGGACAGCCTGACTAGGGCTTATGGTGGTGACTCTTGAGTAGGTGGTTCAGGCTCTGTATCAGTTCTTTCAGGTTCAGGTTGGTGACACTGGTCAAGTGACTTAACATCTCTGAACCTTCAGGTCTGTAGGTGGCAATGGGAAAGTAGGATTGTGCAGTTCATGCAGATCATGACAATGTATGCCTGGGTATCTGGTGTGCTTACAGCACAAGTGGGCACTGAGGGCATGTGCCCAGAGGCACACATGACCCAGGCATCTCCTCCCAGGGCGTTAAGCTGCTGCTCAGCTCTGGCCTATGGAGTCCTCATCCTAAAACCTCACCTTGGTGATTCTTGGGCACTCACAGCTATGCCAGGCTGTCCCAGGAGGTGCTGGGATACTTGATGGACAGTCTCAGTGCCTAAGTCTGGCTGTGTGTGTGTGTGTGTGTGTGTGTGTGTGTGTGTGATATGTGTGTGTGATGGGAGGGGGACATGGACAAAGGCGGCCTGACCTCGCCTGCTTCTGCCAGGCGCCAGCCGAGCTGGCTGCCACAGGCCACCAGCGCCCTGGGGAGCTGCCAACAACAGTCCCTGGCTAGCCAGGCCCCACACCTGACACAGACCCGGAATAGCTCTCTCTCTGCACCAGGGACGCAACACTAGTTTTAGCAGTTTGTAAAGCCACCCGCAGGGAGATGAGTATTTCAGGAAGGCCAGGACAATATTTAGCCCATCAGGGCAATAGCACGGGTCTGAGTATGCTTGAGGCCAGGAGGAGACATGGTCTCCCTGTCCATTCCTTGACGGGGAGAGGCATGTTAGGCTGGGAGGCAGGGCCTGGGGTCCACACTGGCTTGCTTTGTCCTGGCTGTACAGAGATCCTGGGCAAGCTCTGAGGTTCATTTTCCTGGTTATAAAATACAATGTGGTAGTCTGTCTTCCCTATATGGGTCTGACATGGAGTCCTTGTCTTTAGGAATATAAACAGCACCTGTGGGGGAGGCTGAAGCTGGGGGATTGAAAGTTGGAGGCCAGCTAATAGACCCAACAATAACAAACTGGCTCCTGGGTGCAGGGTAGAAAGTTCTGCTCAGAAAAGGGGTCTCTTTGAATATGTTGCCTGATGTCCAGGTTTCTCCCGGATTCCTGCTCCAGCAACAATTGGACCTGGGAAGCTGCTGTGGAAACTACCTGTTGTCGCTAAACAGCCTCCCATCCAGGCCTGTGACCAGTGTCCACATTCTTGAGACCTGTGTGCCCTGGGGTACTGTGCAGATGTTTTTCTTATCTGTTCAAAGGGGACACACTGTTTCTTGCCTGGAGGTGAGAGGCACCAACTCCATTGTGGGGCTAAAGAAACAGGAGCTCAGAGATGCAGATGATGCACCCAAGGTTATTCAGTTGCTACAGGCTCTAGAGATTTGAACCCAGGTCCCCCCATCTGTTTGCATGGAACCCAGGTTAGGTTCTACTCGGAGGGCTTTTCTACTCTGCACACTCAAGGGACTGGGCTGCCGTATTGGCTCCTGCCTGCAGCAGCACCCCTTTTTCAGTGACAGCGACTAGCTTAGCACTGCCTCCAATCATTTGGAGCCTGTAAAAAAATGTGGTACCTTGTTAGGGCATCAGGAAAATTCCGCTCAGAGGGAAGCACAGCAGGTGTTGTAGGCTCTGGGATTTATGGCCTTGTGTTGGAGCAGGCAAGCTTGGAGGAGGCTAAGGTTACCTGGGAGTCAGCAACATATTTATAGCAGGAACTGCTGGCCCACACCAGCCTCTTCAGTGTGTGCATTCTAGGCCCGGCTGTACTTCCTGGGTGCAGGGGAGGCTTGGATGCATCACTTGACCTGACTGAGTCTCAGTTTCCTCTTTGGTAAAATGGGGGCTTGGAACATCCCTCACTGAGTCTATAAGTGATGAGCACTTTCCTGTTATCCGCCATACATCCTGAGTCTTCCTGTGTGGAACTTGTAATAGTCTGTCCCTCTCAGCAGGAAGAGTATCCATGGTTTTGGGCTGTCAGTCTCCCTGTGCTTAGGCAGTATCCCAGCAAAGGAGCAATTCAACTCTGAGCCTTGAGAACAGGCTGCTGCAATCTCAGAGAGCAGTGAATGCAGTCTAACCAGCTCAGGGTTCAAATTCTTGCTCTACCCCTCCCTGGCTCTGTGGCCTTGGGGAAGTCACTTAATCTTTCTGAATATGCCTGATGGGTGAGTATTTGCCCTGCTAGAGGACATAGTAAGGGTGAATCCTAAGTGAGTATGTGCCTGGTCACAGAGTAACCTTCTTTCTCTTCCTGAATACCTGCCAATCCCTCTGTTGAGGTCCTAATCCCCCTATTTGGACATTGTTGGGTGACTGCTTTTGTTAGTACAATGGGGGGGCGGGGCGGTTGTTTTCTTTCTACATTGCTTTCCTTAACACTCTTTTGCCAAGAGGTTCAGCTAAGGGAGCCCCTAATATCCTCAATACCGCCCCCAATACTTCTCCCTCCAAGTACTTGGCTCTGCATAATTCAAAAGCATTTTCTCAAGAATAAGGCCTGAAGACCTTAGCGGGGCATCCATAGCTCACTCAGTTCCTCCAGGTATCTGAGAGCCCCAACTTCTTGTCCCTAAGGCCTCAGGATGAGCCCCTCGCTAGGCACCAAGGTGGACCCCATTGTCTCTCCTTATCCTGGCCACCCCCAGCTCCTACCTCAGTTTCTCCTGGGAGTCCTCAGGCTCCAGCAGGCCATACAGAACTCTGAGGAGGGCCTGCAGCTCTCATTGTACTGGATTCCAGGGTGGGCAAATACTGTGAAAGGACCCAAGGGGGGTTCGGGAGTGGCTCAGGGACACAGAGGAGGTCTCTGAAATGACCTCAGGTCGCTGGCTCCAGGGAAGGTCTGGGCTGGCCTGGGTTACTCTGAAGGTCTGAGCTGGGCTTTATGCCTTGTGCTTCTCACACAACATGCTGACCCCAGAACAAGAAGTGATGTGATGTCCCTGTCCCTGAGGTTTGGAGCACCAAAGCACCCCAGGTTTTGTTGTCTTTTGTGACTGCTGACTGCCATCCTTCCTCAGGGCCCCGGTAAATAACCCCAGAGGAGACGAACCTAATCCCTCTGTTCATTTGCTTTCTGACAAAATGCCCAATAACAGCAGATCATAAGGAGGCAGGGTCTCTGTTCATGGACAGTTGGCACTATTGCTCTAGGCCTGTGATGGGTAGGACCTCATGGTAGGAGCATACAGTGAAGTGGGTCACCTCACAGGAAGCAGAGAGACAGAGAGAGGGCGGGGCTAAGTCCCAGTAGCACCTTCCAACCTCCAGTGACCTAACTGCTTACCACTAAGCCCCACCACCTAAATGTTCCACCCCACCCCCAGTAGCACCCCAGATTGGAGACCAAACCTTTAGCACATAAGCCTCAGGGGGACATTCAAGACCCAAACCACAAAGCTCTCTCAGGCCCTGTTCTTAGAGAGGCACCTGGGCCTGAGCCTACTCCAAGCTGCTTTCCTTCCATGGGTGAGGGCTGCTTGGTCACCCCCTTTTTAGTTAGGCAATTGCATTCAGGCTTCATTCTTTGAGCAGCAGGGAGTCAATGAAGACTCTGGAGTCAAGGAGGTGTCTGGTCTGCTTTGGTGCTTTGGCTGGAAGGCCTAGAAAGAGACCCTGGAGGTCAAGAGGTCAGGGATGAGGCTGGTAAGACGATCCTGAGGATGGACTGGATACCAGCTCAGAAGAGGAGGGACAAGGAGACAGGGAGGACAGCAAATGGAGCTTTGGCCACTGCTGGTGGTGTGGGAGGAAGGTTACAGGAGACTAAGGTCTACACCTTCTCATTTGGAAAGAGAGCCTAGAGCACTCATCTTTGAAGTCTGAGGGGTCACTTTGGGAAACAAGGACTGGCTCTGGGTTAGCCCGTGAAAGTAAGTTAGGATGGGAGAGACTTGGGATGAAGAGAGGAAACCCTCTGCACCAAGCCTGGACCCAGTAGCCCTTCCTCATCTCAGATGTGAAGTGAGGATGGCACCATGACCTCGGAGTGTTGTGGGGATCCCATAAGATGATGCCTTGAAATCCTCCGTGAATGGGTGTGTAGGGGAGGAAGGAGGCAGAGGTGGCCCTTAGGCATGGCTCTTTAAACTGTTACTGTACATGTGCTGGGCACCTGAGACACAGCTGGCACCAAGGGCCTAACCTGAACTGACAGGAAGGGAAGGGATGCAGGTGGATCCCTTGGATGGGCACCGCATTACTGATTCTATTATGGTTCATACACATTTCCAACTCATAGGGTCCTCATGGGTGTGCATGGGGAAACTGAGGAACTGAGGAGAGAGAGAGAGAGAGAGAGAGAGAGAGAGAGAGAGAGAGAGAGATCAACTCAGAGTCAATCCG